AAAATTTCAAGATGATATCTTAAATCAAAAATTTTTACTTCGTCTTGATTGTAAATTTGCTAAATATGTTTTAGAAAAGATGTCCAAAATCTTGCTAGCAAACAAATTTTTGCCGGCTGGCAATTTATTTTAAGTATTTTTGATTTTGATATTACCTATATACCTGGTTGTCAAAATTCCCTTCCTGACTTTCTTATCCGGGAATTTTTACAGGGGGTAAGGGATGAGTGCTACTCCACATATTCCATATCTTAAAACCCAAATTACCCATTACCACACCCTGGTTAAACAAGTATCCTACCGCATTCATCGTCTCCAATCAGCCAGAAAAATTACTAAAAGAGCCCAATACATCAATTACCACCAGATCCAAGCTCGTCACAGTTTACTTGCTGATTACCTTAATTGTTTACACTATTACCAGAATTATTTAGATCTTGTTTCTGGTTGCTAATCATTGTTTCTTGATTCCACAGATGTCTTGCCCAAGGCCTCCTCCCAAGGCTTTGGTCCCATCCTCCAGTAAACCTAATCAACTTCTTGTTCCTTCTCCTTTGGAGTCAATCACTCAATCTCATTCTCTTGAAATGGTTAACCGCTACCAAGTTCTTGGTAACATTTATCGACCTAATTATTCATCTGCTTTGGCCACTGATCCCTTTGTTCTAGCCAATCTATTTTAGTTACTCCATTTCTTACTAATCCAGTTAAATCATCCCAATCTGAGTACACCAAATCACATGTTACTAATCTGTTCTACAAAGAACCAAGTCACCCCAAGAGTCAAACCATTAATGAAATTGCTCAATCCTATTTTGGCTCTGGATGCCATTTCATCATTTCACATCCAGAGAAAACACTCTCCTATTACAAAGATATTTTGATTCACCATCAATCAATTCTGATTAAACCAATTCAGGATCGGACCTATTCTTACAAGATCCTGTATCATTCAATCTACATTCACAACATTGTTTCTTTAGCTGAATGGGGTCCTCCTTATCAGCTTCGAGATTTGCCTGGTCACTCTATTCAGTATAATTACCATGATTACATTGGTGCTTGGTTCAAGATCTTCTTGTACCAAAATGAAACCTTCAGTCATTCTTGGTTCATTTCTTTTGATCAAAAATTTAAGTCCGATTTACCATTCTGGTTTCTGCAATGGTGGACTCATTATGGCGCCATTACAGATATCCTCCCTGATGGTCTTAATAACCTAATTCATTATTTTGCCTCTGTTTACCCATTCACCACTCACCAAGACAATTTCCATTATTGTTAATTTTTATATCCAAATATAAAATCCCTTGGATATTCAAATGGCATTATGGACTTGATGATAAAATAGTCATTCGTCAGCATTCAGTCAAATGGTGGGCTAAGTTCAATTTGCCCCGCATATTTGAAATTGTTCAAGAAGAGTTCCTATCTGATCAATGTGCTCCTACTCCTGCACTTGCTAAAGCCCAGCAGATCCCAACTGCTATAATCAGTCAGGGAAGGCAGCCTAGTCTTCCTCCAATCAATCTTGGAAGCCCCTTATCTAGTGGTTCCAAGCCCAATAATTCAAAGTCCATGGCTAAGTCCAAAGGTTCTGCATTGCTGGCTCAGCCCAAAACTCAATCAAAACCCAAGTCAAAATCCAAATCCAAGGCTCAGTCAAAACTCATTTCACCTCCGGCTCAGCCTAAAGAAAAGTCTAAAATCAAGCCCAAGTCATCCAGAGATGAACTACTCCAGCTAGCCCGCAAACTTGTGGATCAAGCTGAAGCCCAGTTAACTTCAGACAGTTCAGGAGAAGGTTCAGAACATTCACACTCTTCTGGAGGATCAACCAATCAATATTCTGGTCCAGAGTTTCAAGATGCTTAGGATCCGTTTATTTAATCAACATAGGATTCCCTATAAATACAAATTAGCTTCAATCAATACTCTTTTGAGAAAAGCTGCTAATTTGTATTTATATTAATTCATTTACTCACATAATCACCGAAGGTGATGAATAGTAAAAGTTACTGTTCACCATCACTATTCACTCAATCAACTTTTGTTAAAGCTACTCAACTGCTCAATCAATTAGCCGAAAGCAACCGACAACATCTGCTTTTCTCCATGCGCTGCCAACTGCCTTCGTCAATCACAAGCTGTATAGTTAATTTGTTTTCTATATATTGTAATTGCTTGTAATCACTGAGGGATCGGAAAAATTTTCTTCAACTCCTCTATTGTAAGAAAAAACCCAGCGTGTGCTGAGTGACAATTACGCCTTCCCGTTTTGTACCCTAGTTAAGATCCTTGCAGTTGCTACAATTGTAATTGTAAGTTATTTTCTGAATTTTAATTACAAAGTTTTATTAAATGATTTGATTAGTGCGTGTATTCCAATTCTGTAATTCAATTCAATTGTAGTCCTATTTGGGTATTCAATTTTCGTCCTATTTTTTTTAACAACACTAAAAAAAATTAATTTATAAGGCCATAATTTTTAATTTATTATTTTAAATTAACAACACTAGAAAAATAATTTATAAATGTTCAAAAGACTATTTTACCCTTTTTTCAATTGCTTACTAAGTAATAGCATTAGGGTAAAATGGACATTTCACACATTAGTCTCGTGGGATACCAATCCCATGGAAATAATCCCACACACCCCTCCCCGGATTGTTTAGTCCCTCATATAAGAGATATGGAGTCCGGCCGGACTCCATGTTCGGCAGACTAAAATTGCACTAAACGATGGACATCCCCCTCCATTGGATAAGCAATCAAAACAGTAAATAATCTTCCCCTTATCCCTTGAATCAAACACACCCTTGTTCATACTCTTCACTAATCATCATATGCGGTACCCCCTTATGTTCTCCAATCACCTAATACAAAATAATAGATTTCACCAATCACTACATCCCTAGAACACCACGTGACCATACTCTAGGAACACCCAATAATTAATCCATAGTTATTGTCACTACCCACTCTTACCAATAACCAGAACAAAACTCTCATCCACCACCTACATTCTCTTCTCCACCCTTCTTACTACCACCATTGCTACCCTTTTCTTGTTATGGCCACCTCATTCCCCTTTCTTGTTGCACACCACTCCCAACTAGGAGTGTAAAAATAGCCCGCGGCTCGTGGGAGGCCCGAAACCCGCCTGCGGCCCGAGATGGGCCCTGCCCGATTAGGCCCGGACTTGAGCCCAGCCTGGAACCCTTGGACCTAGGCCATCATTTTGAACCCCAGCCCACATAGGGCTGCCCATGGCCGGCCCATTCAAGGCCCACTAAAATCCCGATCTACTCGAGGCCTAGTGTCATTTTTTGTGGAAAAAAATAAACTTTTGAAAATTTTAAAAATTTGTTCAAACCCTGCCCAAGCTTAAGCCCAAGCCCACCAGTCTATCCAACGCCTGAATACCCCCATGGGCCTAATTGTTTGGCCCGTAGGCCAGCTCGAGCCCGGGCCTAGGTGGACCGGCTCGAGCCCTAGGCCAAGCCAAATTTACACCCCTACTTCCAACCCATTTTCTTCTTAATTATAAAACCTTTCCATCCAAATCCTAACTACCGTACCCAAATCCCCTCCTTATCACGACACCACACTTCAATTGCCACTATTTTGAAACATGATCAGGTCTGGCTTGTTAATTATACATTTTAGTTAAAAAGTTACTATAAGTAGTCACATTACTTTTTTTATTTTTCTACACATCTTTTCGTAAATAATCAAAATAATTACTAAAATAATATATTTCCAAACGAGATCTCAATATAAGTGTTATTAGTTTCCAATGTATAGTACCATAAGTATTATTCACTGTGCTTGGTTCCCATTTTTTAAAAACAGTTTTTAGAAAATTCTACACTCTTATTTTTCGTATTTTTTTGTTTTTACTGAATTTTTTTTAATATTTTATGCAAATTTTTTACTTTTTAGACACACCTAACAAAAATACACCTAAAAAGTAAAAAAATTGTAAAAAAAATCTTTTAAAAATTCACCAAATATCAAAAATATAAAAAAAAAATACAAGAATTTAGTACATTTTTTGTATTTTTATGTATTTCTTAATTTTTAAAAATATTTTTTCACATTTTTTTTACTTTTTAGACACATCTAAGTAAGATACATCTAAAAAAGTAAAAAAAATATTTACAATTTTAAAAATATTCACTAAAAACAAAAAACACGAAAATCAAAAAACTCAATTTCAAAAAACTTAATTCAGAAAACTCAAACCAAACACAGTGATTAGTTTCCATTGTAGAGTACCCTAATTATTACTTACATCAATCATTTACCCTAGGAATAAGTGATAATTGTAAACACATTCTCCAATAAAATTCTGAGTGCACAGTAATGATCAAGAGTAATGAATAAGTAACAATAAAGTTTAAATCATAAATCATAAAGACAAAATCCTCCTAAATACTTGGACTGTCAAAATTCAGTCCATTGAGTGACAATAATGCTGAAATCATTTGCCTTACATGAGAGTTGTGTTTAGCACCCACCCAGGCTATTACAAAACAATCTTTGAATCTTGAATTTTATGCTTGGGCATGGGAGGGGTATGGGAGATCATGAGAGTTCCGTTTAGCGCCAAGTCTACTTCAAAATTACCTTCGAGGCGCCAAGTATACAACAAAACAATCTTCGAGTTGACAAAGTTCTAGTTTTATATTTGGGGATGAGAGATCATGCTTTGTGAATGGAAAAAGAGAGGTTAATGCTGGAAGGGAGTTTTTTTTTTTTTTTTCAAAAAAAAAAAACAATATCCCATGCATAAGTCATATAAACAAGACAAAATAGTTGATTTAATTTCATTTTCTTTTTCGAGTGACCATGCAAGTAACCACTAGTTACAACAAAAAGAGCACAAAGAGAACTCCTTTATGATCCACAAGATCTATCATTCAGAAACTGAAGATGTCAATCAATATTTCATGCTCTAACAAAATTTCAAGAGAAGAAAATTTTAACAAGGAAAATTAAATAAATGTTGAACTTCGCATGTAGATAATAATGCCACAATAACCCTTTGTCTTGAGTTGAAATTAAAGTTAAACTGATCATGATGTTGCATATAACATTGCCACTGTAATGGACGGTCAATGGTTTGTCATTCCTTTCTTTTAATTCACTCTTGCCAACCCTATTCTAAGTTAAGAAGAATCTAAAGAGTTAAAAGGGAAGGGTTGGAGGATTAAAAAAATCTATAATAAGGATATGCTAAAAGCACAAGAAAAACTACTTCTACTTGTAGTTGACATGAGATTCCGTGAGAATGTGATTGTATATGGTTAGATAGATCTTTGTCTTTGTCCTTCATCTTCAGCAGTTTGTGTATTGTGTGTTTTAGGAGTCAATGGCAACAACTTCTGGGAGCGGACGTAGTTGAAGAGGTTGAATATGGGACTTGAGTGGGATACGGGATGAACCAGACTTCTTCTTCTCCACAGGTATTCCTACTCCCACGATTCCAAGGACCTTCCTCACTTCATTTGCCAGCTCGATAACCAAATCATCTTCATGACCTGTTCATATATTTACAGAACTCAGTATAATGCACCAAACAAAGAAGATCCATAATCGTGTCATGTTCCAAGGTAGCAATAAAGAAAAAAAAAAAACTTACCAATATCAAACATGGCCTTCTCCAACAAGAAAAGATAGTCTCTGTTGTTACCACAGGGGCCAAAAGCAGTCGCTATTTGTCTGAAAAGATAAACAAGAAATCATAAGGAAAAAACTTGAATGACAAAATTTTGAAGAGAAAAGGAGAAGCCTCACTGCACAGTTCCATCCGTGGAAAAAAGAGAGGAAAGCGGAGGGGAGGGGAGGGAAGTATGTCATCAACATTACCTAGCCATATCCTCCAATGGGGCAGGCCCTAGGTAGTATTTATTTGATTCTTTGTCTGGAGTGGACGTAAAACTGCAATGTTAAAATATAAAATTAACAATGAAAAATAAAAAAATCTTTCACAATAACGCACTAAAAATTTCAAGTTCACGAGTATCTCAGATGTTCTTCAATGAGAGAAAGAGGCAGGAATGTTGGAGATTCCATCCATTCTTCAGGACTGTTCAATATCAAATAAATGGAAATCAAGTGAGAGCAGTATGTAACTTACACTATAACTCCAGTTATAGCAGCCTGTTCGGTATCCCCTTCCTGAATTAAAGAGGGCACACAAAAGGCAGTCAGAATAAGCAAAATATTCTAGATAATTAAAAAATAAAAAATACAATAAAAAACTCTTCAGTTTTCAAATATCAACTTTGCAGCGTTCATTCTTTAAAAACTAAATAAATTTTATTCCAAGTGGGTAAAGTAGTGCCACGTTCCATTAAAATTATCTCAGATGGCAAAGGTATAGAAACTAATTGAATTGGAGAAGTGAAAAGAAAAAGAATCTGAGACAACCATATGGCATATACCACCAAATCAAAGCACTCACCTTGTAAAAGTCTACAGAAGTCTTGAGATCATACTCGCATTCTCTCTTCTCCAGATACTACAAAACAAAGAGGAAACATTAGACTTGACTTCGAAACACTGCAACTAACAAAAATGTTTCACAAGATGATAAGTGGAAGCCTCCATTGCCACCCTTTCCTTGTCTACTTGGGAAGTGGCAATTAACTTTCTATCAAGAATAATCAAGTACAGCTAGAGACAGAACATACCTCCATTGCTGCCTTTTGCTTCTGCGGGCCTCCTCGTATACAGTAAGCAGCACCCCACTGATAGAAGAATACACAAGTCAGAAACATAGAAACAGATAATAGCTCAGATAATTACTACGAAACCAGAGGGCAACAATCTGGAAAGACAAAAAACCAAATCTATTAGTTTTAATCATCAGAAAATGGCAAATTTGTGAGTGGCTCCAAAATCAATAATGAGATTTAGATATGTGGTAGGCACGCAAATTTAAAATACTTACACAAACGGCTCCTTCACTGGGTTCCAAGGTACAAGTTCTTGCAGGGCTTTCAGGTGTACCTCTGTGATCAATGCATGCTGATACACATAGAAGGTGATGAGCAAAAGCAAAAATAAGAAGGACAAAAGTAGAAAGCTAAAGCTATATGTCATCTGAAACATGTAATTTCCACTTACCAAGATCAAAAACACGCCTGTAATCCTTGATGAAGCCTATCACTTTCTCATCGTATTCAAATCCAGGGTTCCAAACCAATGAGCCGTATCCAAAAACCCAGAACGCCATGGTTGTATAGTTCCTAGAAATGAAGTTCCATTAATACAACATAACATCAACCATTGAAAATTTATAGAAGATGCATGACTCTTTAAATAAACATATGCATTCAAGAAATATACAGTTTTAGTTAAAAGCAGCCAATTAAATTGGTGTAAATAAAGTTTTGCGTAAAAAACAACCAACTGGATTGGCACATATATTTTGGTTCAAAAAACAGGCAATTGGATTGATGATGACAACAGGATTGAGCACTAATCAGGTCCACCTGCCAGGTTGCCACTGAAGCTAAGCCATATAACAAGGATATGGATTGAATTCAAATCTGAAATAACAGATAAAAATACAGCCTGTGAAAAATGTGGAAACTTAACTGGGCAGTTCTCTTCACAATCATCATCCTAAAATTGTAAATTTTAGAACAAATGTGTAGAGACTTTTAGCTATATTATTAATTCAACATGCTTCTGTGAAAAATTTGTAACTTCTGGCTATATTGTATTCGTCCCCCACATCTCTCGTCATGCATTTTTCGAAATTGCCGTGCTTGCGTTTGTTTTTGTGTTGTGTCACATGTCCATGCTTCTTCGCTACAAGAAGATACGTAATAGGATAGTAGATCCAGGTATAGATTTTATTATGCGCCTGATACACGATCAATATGGGCCTGACCTATGGACTTAACTTACATGCCTGATTCTAATGGATCAACCCACACCACTCACGGCATAATGAATTCACCAACCACTAGGTCGGGCAGCTCAATGGACCATGAGGTCGGGCACAAGGTCATCCAACCATTGTTTTGCAACTCCTGCTCAACTAACCTCCAAGTTGGCTCGAGGACTCTTGGGACAACATGTGACAGGACATGTTGAAAGGACTAGGTGGTCCCTCATCAAATCAAAGCCACAGAGATCGGCTAAAATAACATAACTATAGTCCTCGTATATTCTATTGGATACAGCTCCTCTCCAACAACTGAAGGGTGTTGAGCCCTGATCTAGGCCAATGGTGATAATCCAAATCGTTTATTATGTAGAACCCATCGAGTATATTATCCTTGCAAAAAAATCACATTGATCGGATATCGATAGCCACTTGATCATATCACATTTCTATCACAATTTATTTTGAAATTTCTATTTTAAAATTATTTTGAAACGTGATACACATTGATCGGTTTGGTTTGGATTATCGTCATGGTCCGGATCAGGGCCCACCAGTTCCAAACAGCACCCTGGAGAGGAGCTGGGTCCTCTCCTATTTTATTGTAGACTGTCATTTTTTATTTTTATTTTTTAATTTTCCAATAATGCTCCTTGTATTTAATAAGGAAAATCCAACTCTGCCTAAAATTGCTAAAAATTCGATCATTCATCAAATCACACCTCAATCATCAAACCATTTAAATATATAACTGAGAAATTGCAAAAGCTGCATTTGCACCCACCGCTAGTAGATGAAAATGCCATCATATCATAGAACAAGTTCACTGAGAAAATTATATGGACGAATATAAATTTTTTAATTGATTTACTTTATGATATACAGGAGAGCAAAAAACAAGAAATGAAGTTGGATTCGCCGACATTTACTCACAAATCAACCACAATAGAAAAAGCTAAGATCCATCGCCTCAATTTCTCTTATCCCCAATTTTCTTAGCAGCCAAACAGCGTTTGAACACAGAAAAATAGCTTCGGAAACAAAAAAATTTAAAAATACATAGAGAGAAGGGGATTAGAGAACTTACGAGAGAAGCGAGAGCCAAAGCCTTTGAAATCAGAGAAAGAGGCTCACAATGTGCATAAAAAAATGAGAGAGTTTTCTGAGATCTCAATTGGAAGCAATTTAGCAACAGGAAACGGCCGCGAGAGAAACGAGAGAGAGAAAGCTTCGGGACTAGGGCTTTACGCGTTCAAAACCCTGGACTAGAGCTTGAATAGGGCTTTTCTCTCTCTCTCTCTCTGTCTCTCTCTCTCTCTCTCTCGCTCGCGCTCTCTCTCTCTTCTGTATTCGGTTTTGGGAAGGCGGGTCTTGCGGTTGGAGAGGAGAATTTTATAGGGGGGCGAAGGTCAAAACTGGAAAACCATGTGGTGGGACCCACATATTTGATATACTACCTACCTATTTATAGACTTTGTCACGGTGCATATATACATATGAAAACCATGTATGTAAATAATCATGCATTTATGCATGCATGTCATGAATCTATTTATTAAATTTCCTGTTTTTTAATAAAGAAAATAATAATAATTTTCACTTTTTCATAAATAAAACCTAATTATGCTAACAAATTTTGAAACATGTGGCATCAAAAGCGAACTAATAGTGGAAAAAAATTAATAATTGACCCATTTGAATGCAAAACCTATAAGTTCTAGTCAATTCAGACAATAGAAAATATTTAAAATGTTTATATTTAACAAATCACTCAAGAATTTATATTCTATTAAAAAATACTTTGAATTTTTGCCCCTCTGTTTCTTTTTGTTTTTCTAAATTAGTCAACAAAAAAAAAATTATGAGGAATTTGTAGGCTTGTTTTGACAACTTGATTGAAATAGGTTTTTTTTTTTTTTTTTTTAAATAAGTGTTTTGACTTTTTTTTATCATATTACATTTTTATTTTTTTTACATATTTTTAAAAAAAAATTCAAAAAATCTACTTTGACTAGTCACGTAGTAGAACATTGGCTAGCCATAATCACATAGTGGTAGAACATTGACCTAGTCATACAACATTTTTAACATCTTCATACAACATTTTCAAATATTAAAGTTATGTGTAACTAAAGGAAAGTCACAATTTTGAATTTTGTAAAATGATGTATGCTTGAAAGATTAAAAAATTTGTGAATCTAGGGAGTTTTAAGTTCTTTGAATTAAACACCATGTAGCTCATGATGTGCCACTTAATTGGGAAAAAATTAATTTTAAATGAAGTAGAATTGGCACTTAGGATACTCTAGTGGATAGGCATCTTTGTATATGGCCAATTGGACACTTTAGAGCATCTTTAATGGAGTTATCAAAGAATCTGTCAAAGTTATAATTTGGCAAGAGTGACAAAAAGAGGGTCTCCAATGACTAACTATTGTTTTTACCAAAGATAGCAGATGTCATTTTTGTTCTCAAATTTGGCAAGTTGAATAACAGGTGCCAAACATGCCACATCATCAAATATCAATAGATTTTTGGTTCCAAATTCAGTTGAAAATACAGAATTCATTCACTAGGAAAACCTCTCAACATAATTGTTAGCCATATTGTGTTTTGATGATTATTTTGATTTTGTTCTTGATAAATTAAATTGATCAATATAATATGTTTTATCCATATCAGTTTAATCTATTTTTCTCCTTGTGTTTAACCATATTTTTAGAGTGAAAATGATGTTTTAACAGCAACAAAAATAGCAGCAAAACAACCCAAAAACAACACACAAAAAAACCAGAAATAGCAGCAAAACAACCCAAAAATAGTATCAACAACAGCGCAAAAACAGCAACAAAATCGCCCAAAAACAATAGCAAAACAACCCAAAAACGATAGCAACACAGCACAAGCAGTGGCAGAACAAAGAAGGCTGAAAATACACTAGGTGGACATCCGGGCAGACGTCCGAGGGGATGACAAGCTAGGCCAAAATCAACCCGTTTTCACTCTAGTTCAGTCCAGCTTTGCTCCGGTTGTCAAACCAACAGTATGCTCGACGACCGCAGACGACATCCTTGACGACTGGGACTTGATCGAACATCCGGGAGGACATTCAGTTGGATGACCACCAAAAACAAATCTTCATCTGGGACATCCGGGTAGACGACCACTCTGTGCTGTAACGGCTCTTTTTCAAAATACTTGTCAACAATTAGACCCATCTTTCAACTCCTTTAACATCTAATCATGTATGGTAAATGCAAGTTTGAGTAGAGTAGATTTAACCAAAATCTCACTCAATCTTCTCAACACACGCAACAAACAACGATCAATGAATTTCTCCTTAAATAAATAGAAGTGCTCCTACTGAAGAAAGAGACATAGAGGCAACAAGTAAAAACATTTTCATATCATTCATCACTCACATATTTCATCTTCTTTGAGTTCCTGAAGTGATCTTCATCTGAGTATTACATTCATCATTCAGAAAATCAACACTGAACTTTTAACCTTAAGCTTATCTACATGTGAGAGTTTATCAGAAAAATCAGAGAGACTTGAGCCAAGAAAATTTGTTTGATTCTATCATCAGTCTCAAACTCATCATTAGAGTTATCTAAAGTATTCGCCATTCTTGTTTGATTCATTTTCTTTAGAAAACAAACACTGAACCTAAGCTTTAAGCATATACACCTTTGAGAGGTTTACTAATATATCTTTTGAGCTTCAACATTGTATATCTATCTATAAGAGATATTTTTGTACCTTTCTTTGAAAGCAAAAACACACATTTCCAATCTTGTAAAAGGTCTCTAGCAAGCCTGCAAAGCTAAAGAAAATATGTAGAGGATTGCTCCATGTGTATGAGATTACTAGTACCCCTATGAAGCTAGAAAATCTGTAGAGGATTACTCCATATACATGAGGTTGCTAGCACCCTTGTAAAGCTAGAAGATAGTGGAAATCTCAAGTAAAGTTTGAGGAGTGGATGTAGGCTTGGTTGAAACTGAATCACTATAAATCGTATTTGCATTTTTCTCCCTCATCCCTTTACTCTATTACTCTAGCTAACTGATATATTTGTTTCCATTCACTGTGTTAGCTTAATCCACTACCATTTAACTTATTGTGTAAAGTTTTGCTTGATCAATTTCTACTATACTAGTTAGTAAGTTTTTATTGGGGAATTATTATTTTTAATTTGTAGAAACTTAATTCACTCATCTCTTAGGTTGCTTTTTGGGTAACAAGAATTAAAAAACATATAAAAAATTCAACTATCAATAGTTTTTTTTCTTTCTTTCTTGCTTAAAATTTCTTAAAAATAAAAACCTTTACTATTTTCAAAATTTTAAATTTTATTTACTTAGTACCATTTTCTTAGTAAACAAACAGAAAAAATTTGAAACCCTAGAATCAAGAAAGAGGGAGGAAGCAAACAACAAAGAAAAAACAGAGATCAAACAATATTAAACTACAATAGCTATTCAACAGCAACATTTATATATATATTTGTATATGTATATTATATATCAATAGAGAGAGAGAGAGAGAGATATGCTCTTATCTCGGCCGAACATAATGAATGAGAGCAAGAGAGAAAGGGTTTTTCTCTTGAGACAACTGTAGATCATTCTAGAGCTCTGATTAAAGGTACTAAAATTGAAAGTACTGGTGAGAGATTCAAATCAGACCTGACCTTCATGTTGGAAAGGATAATAGGGGATTTAATGAACGAGGTCAGGCTGAGACCTGGATTTATCGTGATGCAGAGAGACCAAAAGATTGGAAGTTTGGCCGGAGAGAATAGCTGGTACTTGGCAGAGCTCGATCCGTTCAAGAAAAGAAGTTGGAATCGGAATTAGCACCTCGAAAAGGGTTGGAAAGTTAGTCTTCGGAGAGAGAGAGAGAGAGAGAGAGAGAGAGAGAGAGAGTGAGAGTGAGAGTGAGAGTGAGAGTGAAAGGAAGAATGAAGAGAGTTGGCCATTAGAGGAGAGTATAGACCATTATCCCAAGACAGATGTTTCGATGATGGAGAAGGAAAAGGGAAGAAGAGAGTGAGAGTGAGAAAAATAGTAAAGACAGAGTGACATGTCTGTCTTGGAATGGTATGGATGATTCTAGATAATTGATCTCAACCGTTGGAACCTCGAGTACATGGACGGTGGTGGTATTGTTTTGGAAATAAAAAAGAGTCGTTGTGCTCTTTTTGCCTGCAAAAAAAAAAAAAAAAGGTACAAACAACAGTTATGAATTAACGGTCATCTTTTGATTTTTCTCTTACCTACAAACGGTCATCATGTAAGATACCAAGAAATAATGACCGTCTTATTCGAAAACGTCTTTGAAAGTATTATTCTGGATAGATAGGATTGTCTGCAAAGTAATCTCTATAAATTTGTTCGTTACCTTTGACGTTCCCACTATTAATGTATCGACGACCACTTGTAGAACCAACATGTCTGGTTGGTTGGTTTAGGGTTAACGCTTGTATTCTTTGTTGTTGCGTTGTTAACAATTGCATCATCATTATATCATCATTACATGATGAAAATTCATCAAAATCTCTATTGAAGACGGCTTTAGTGAAATTGTTCATTGTAAGTGGGGGGGTGAGTGGGTGAATATGAAAATTATAGAAAATCTTGTGGGTGGGTACAGCGAGTTTAGTATATATGAAAATTATGGATAGATAAATATGAAAATCGTAGAAAACCTTGCGTTATATTTATAGAGAAAATTATGAGTGGGTAAATGATGGATGGTTGTTGGTGGGTGATTGTTGGTAAATGAATGGTGGATGAATAATTGATGGTTGCTGGGTGGGTGGTTGTTAGTGAATGAATGTTGGGTGAGATGGATGGTTGTTAGTGGGTGGTTGTTGGTAAGTGAATGGTGAATAAATAATAGATGGTTGTTGGGTGGGTGGTTGTTGGTGAATGAATGTTGAGTGAATGATGGATGATTGCTAGTGGGTGTTTGTTGGTAAATGAATGTTTGGTGAATAATGAATGGTTGTTGGTAGGTAGTTGATGATTTTTTTTTTTAATGTAGTTAACATTTTTTTTTTTTTTTTTTTTTTTTTTTTTTTTTTTTTTTTTTTTTTTTTGCATTGATATATTTTTTGGTAGGGTGAATTATATTTATTTTTTTTTTTCCAATTTTTCACTTTTTTTTTTCATTTTTTATATTTGTCTATTCAAGAATAATGTAAATATATAATTTTTTTTTAAGAAACAGTTAAAAAAATGTCACAAAAGACAAAAAATAAAAAAAAAATAAAAAAACTAAAAGACCTATATCCAAATAACACTCATAAACTTGGAGGGAAAGTTAATTGAGGTTTGCCAAAATAGCATGTGACCATTGAAGCAC